GCCCCGACAGGGAGCAGAACAATGGCCACGCTGCCGGATCGCAGCAACACGAGTCACAGTGGGGCTGTTTGTGCAGGGGCCCCCCTGCCTGACACCGTGTGTTGGGCTCGGCTGGAGCTTGGGGAAGCAGCAGAAAGTATTTTCTTGTTGGAATTTCTGTGAACCACCCCCAACTCGTCCTAATCCTTTACCTCCCTGGGGAGTGCAGAGGCTGAGTACCTACAGCCCCGTTCCCGGGTCCCTGGGAGCTGAGGCAGTGCCACAGCCCAGCCCCAGAACAGGGACACAGCTTGGGCAGAGGGGTGCCACTGCGGGACCCCCGCACCGCTGCGGCTGTCACACCCACCTGCTCCCACATCAGTCACACAAACTGCTCCTTGCACCAAGTACTGATCCAATTTGTGGCTGTTTCCATAACAACCTCCCAGCGCTTTCTGGTCCTTTCTGTTGCTATATGGATGCCAAGATCCGATGTGTCGGGGATGCTCGGTCCTGGGACACAGCGACTGGGCTGAGCCATCCCAATGCCTCTTGGCTCCCAGGGGTGAAGCACTCTGCACGTGGGTGTCTTGGCATGCTGGAGAGGTTTCCCCGCTCTGGAAGGGCTTTTTTCCCCATGAGAGGGATATGGTGAGGTTTGAGCCAGGGGAAGAAACCCAAGGGCAGGAGCTGATCCAAGACTTCTGGGGGTCCCTGCATGCAGCTGAGCTTTGTGCAGTCATGGCACTGCCCGGGACTCTCAATACTAGGAATGGGGACCTGGGAGGCACTGGCAGACAGAGACGACCCTGTTTCTCCTACCTGAGATGACATCACCCCCAGGCCTGGCCTTTGCAATGTCTTGCAGCTCTCACACAGGTTTCCTGACCCGAACCCAGTCCCAAAGCTCTTCCCACACCTCCTGTTTCCCTCTGTGCATGACTCCGGCTGCTCTTGGAGCTGACCTCTGCCTTCTGTCAGATGTCCCCGACCCCTTGCTTCCATCCATCCCCTGATCAGCCACCCACCCCACAGGGCCAGCACTGGGGTCCCTACCCAGCCCCAACACCCCTGGTGTGCCCAGCCCAGGACCTCACACGCAGCCCCATTGCCTCAGGGGTGCCCAGCCCTGGCACCACCTCATCCCCACCACCCCAGGGGCTGTCCAGCCCCACTCATCCCTAAACCAAACAACTCCCCAGCGGTTACCCAGCCCGAGGGCCCCCAGCCCAGTCCTATCGCCTGGGGGCTCTCCAGCCCTGGTACCCCCACACGCGTGCTCTCAGGGTGTCCGGCTCCGGCACCGCCCCACAATCACCCTGATACCCCATAATCGCTGTCTGCTCGGGGGGTGCGCAGNGGACACATCGATGGGGGCAGCGGGCAGAGCCCCGGAGGGTGCGGTGCCCTCTGCTCCCTGGCAGTGCCCATGCCCAGCCTGAGGACTGGATGTGTCCCTCCTCTTCCTCCTCACCACTCGGGCTGGGACAGGAAGGCTCCCCAGAGACCCCGCCGGGAGGAAGGTGCGCGGCGTGCCCCTGCAGAGGGGCTGGGGGATGCAGAGGCAGTGCGGAGGAGGTGCCAATGCCACCCCTGGCACCCCACGTCTCCCGTAAGAGGCTCACAAATGACAGGTACTGGTGACGGTGCCACGGCACGTGGTGGCAGCCTGGCTGCGCGCTGCGCTCTGGCACAGCTGTTTAGGGGGGCACTCAGAGGAAGCCCTGGGCGTGTGGGTGCAGCTTGTGGGGTGATCCGGGCTGGGGCACCCCTGTCCCCTCTGCCTGACCCCACACACCGCTTCATGCCGAGCTCTCGCTCCAGGGGTGCAGCAGAGCCAGGTGAGTGCATCCTGCAGCCCTGGCACACCCCTGGCACACCGGGAGCAGGGAGGGCAGCCCTGACAGTGCCGGTCCTGGGCAGGACGGTCAGGCCCCTGTGCAGCTACCAGGACACAGAGCAACCAAATATGTTTGGTGCCCTGAAGGAATCCCAGGAATGCAGAGCCTGGAGGGGACTCGAGGTGGCACGAAGGTGTCACGGCAGCTCCAGCCCTGCACGTAGATCCCCTGCAAGCCCCGGGGCAGCTTGGAGGTCACCTTCAGCAACACAAGGTGCTGTGGGGCTCGGTGTGCCAGCTGTGCCCTCCAGCTTGGCGGGAGCCCTGCCGGTGGCTCTGGGGAACGTGGCGCCTTTGAGGGTCCAGTACAGCCCTGGGAGCGACTCGCCATGGTGCCGGCAGGGGCTGGGAGCCCTGGCCCTGCTCCTCGGCTCTGGCCCGGCCCCAAGCCGTTGTTCTCCAATGAGCTCATCTGCCTCGCTGACTGTGAGCGTTAACATGGCCTCTTGGCCCGAAAATAACCAGCTCGGCCACTTAGCAAATGCTTATGGCTTCTTCATAGCTGGGTTCTCTGCCAGG